TCCCTGTCTAGTCCTGTCACTTGTATGAAGTGACACTGTGACGTGTGTGAAGTGACACTGTGATGTGTGTGAAGTGACACTGTGATGTGTGTGAAGTGACACTGTGATGTGTATGAAGTGACACTGTGATGTGTATGAAGTGACACTGTGATGTGTGTGAAGTGACACTGTGACGTGTGTTATGTGACACTGTGATGTGAGTGATGTGACGGTGTGACACCTCGTGACACTGTGACATGACACTGTGACGGGTGTGAAGTGAGCTGCGACTCACCTGGAGTCGGAGACCTGCGGCGTCCCTTTGGAGAACCGGGGAGGGGGCGGGGCAGCAGAGGAGGCGCGGCTTCCCTGTACACCAGGACCCTACGGGACAACAGGACATGGTTTGTTTTAGTACAGGTTTTTACGGCGCTCGCAACTGCATAAGGTCATTACAGCGCCAGAAAATTAGAGGGGTTACAAGAGAGTAACGAGCATAAAAAAGAAGGAGGGGAGATAAGGAAGATAGATGTTTGATAGGAGAGAAGAAGCAAACCATACCAGAGCACCCGCCAACCACCCACCAATAGGACATGGTTACTGCAGGACAACAGGTTAACATGAAGGACTGATGCCATCAAAGAGATACATTGACACAGACAAGATGGCCGACTGACAGACAATCCTGTACATTGACACAGACAAGATGGCCGACTGACAGACAATCCTGTACATTGACACAGACAAGATGGCCGACTGACACAGACAATCCTGTACATTGACACAGACAAGATGGCCGACTGGCACAGACAAGATGGCCGACTGGCACAATCTACAAGGATGATCAATTCAGTCAAGACGGATGATGCTTCCTGTCCACATGGATGATTGAAACAATCAAGATTGACCAGCGACAAATCGGTGACTACATCAGGTCACAATTAACAGGTATGTGAGAAATCAATGAACGTACCAATAAACCTCCAAGCAACACAACTGCCATGACCAAGACAAATCAGAAACATCCCCCGGAATCAGAAACAGGAAAAATCGTTCAACTAATGAGGAAATATGGAAAGTTACAAAGAATGCTACAAACAGAAAAGTGTTTTATTCGTACGTCTGGCCCGATCCTGTCGTTTTGGAATGAAACATTTCGTGGACAAAGACTGGAGCACAGAGACTTCCTCACTCACGCCAAACTGTTGTCATCTCTGTCAGTGAGCGAAGCTACAACACTGCACCTCATGGTTTTGGGACTATATTTAGAGTGAACCGTCTCAACCATGATCTCACTTCCCCTGTCTATGTGTGCCGTGAACCGTGAACCATCTCAACATGACTTCAACCCCCTCCCACCACCGTCTACATGAACCGTGAACCATCTCAACATGATCTCTCCCCATCCCCCCTTACATGAACCGTGAACCATCTCAACATGACTTCAACCCCCTCCCACCACCGTCTACATGAACCGTGAACCATCTCAACATGACTACAACCCCCCCCCACCACCGTCTACATGAACCGTGAACCATCTCAACATGATCTCATCCCATCCCCCTTTACATGAACCGTGAACCATCTCAACATGACCTCACCCCATCCCCCTTTACATGAACCGTGAACCATCTCAACACGACCTCCCCCTGTCTCTGTGAACCATCTCAACACAACCTCCCCCTGTCTACATGAACCGTGAACCCAACACGACCTCCCCCTGTCTACATGAACCGTGAACCATCTCAACACGACCTCCCCCTGTCTCCGTGAACCATCTCAACACGACCTCCCCCTGTCTCGGTGAACCGTGAACCATCTCAACACGACCTCCCCCTGTCTCGGTGAACCGTGAACCATCTCAACACGACCTCCCCCTGTCTCGGTGAACCGTAAACCATCTCAACACGACCTCCCCCTGTCTCGATGAACCGTGAACCATCTCAACACGACCTCCCCCTGTCTCCGTGAACCGTGTACCTGCATGTGAGGGTGTAGCGGTGCGGCAAACCCTCGGGGCGGGGGGATGTCCGCAGGGTGCTCAGGTTTCTGCGGGGGCGAGGCGGCGTCTCTTCTGTCCCGTTCCTTTTTCTTCTTCTTTTTCTTCTTGTCCATGCGGTCAAAGCTGTCCAGTGTCGGGGGTTTCGGGGCGTTCATGAGGGGGGTGAGGGCCGGGGGCGGGATGCGGCGCCCCTCAAGGACACCTGGACACAGGAAGGAAAACTTTTACATCACACATTTTCCTCCAACACATGGGAAAATAAATCTCGACATAAATGTTTTAAATGTTTCCTTCTTTGAGTAAGAGATGCCCCAGGCAGGAAAAGCCAAAGTTCTGTAGGGAGGTTTGACCCACAAGGTCAATTTTCTGTAGGGAGGTTTGACCCACAAGGTCAATGTTCCACCCCTTTCTACATGACAAAGTCACCTCAGAGCTAGGCCCGCATGACACTTACATGTGAAACCAGAAAATAAAAGCGTTCTGTGCCAAAAGCCTTAAAGATTACCTGTTCTATTCCAGAAACCTTAAAGATCACAGCAAATCAAACCGTTGTATTCCAGAAACCTTCAAGACAAGAGAAGTAAAAAGAGGCCCATCAGCTGTAGAACTCTCCTCTCCAGCAGCGAGCCCGTCCCCATTGTTGTTTCTGTCCAACTGTGAGGCATCAGCCATCGCTCTCAGGGACATCCCAGGAAACTTATTCACCTCTCATAAAGAAAACATTCTCCCCCCCCCACCCCCCATGGTCGACCATTGGTCAAGCTGTCGCCTGGCACCCATAGATCACACACACACACACACAAACACACACACACAAACACACACACACACAACTGCTCTTGCACCAAGCAGAGATCACACACACACACACACACACACACACACAACACACACACACACGCAACTGCTCTTGTACCAAGCAGAGATCACACACACACACACACACACACACACACACAACACACACACACACGCAACTGCTCTTGTACCAAGCAGAGATCACACACACACACACACACACACACACACACAACACACACACACACGCAACTGCTCTTGTACCAAGCAGAGATCACACACACACACACACACACACACACAACTGCTCTTGTACCAAGCAGAGAACGTGAACCGAACCACAAGTCAGAGACAGCCTGTCTCACCCACAAGTCTCTCTGTACGTCAGAGACAGCCTGTCTCACCCACAAGTCTCTCTGTACGTCAGAGACAGCCTGTCTCACCCACAAGTCTCTCTGTACGTCAGAGA